ACTGCTCCGCAGGTGCGCTCTGCAGGCTACCAGCGCCCCACGCCACTGCTCCGCAGGTGCGCTCTGCAGGCTACCAGCGCCCCACGCCACTGCACCGCAGGTGCGCTCTGCAGGCTACCAGCGCCCCACGCGACTGCTCCGCAGGTGCGCTCTGCAGAATGAACGCCCTTGGTGCTCTGGTTAAAAAACCATGCACAGAACTTAGAGACTATATGGTCATTTTAGAACAACAAAAGTGATTTAACCTCAAGGAAAATATAATAAAGTAGTTTAACAAAATTATATGAAACTCAAAATTATATTAATATACAGAAATTTTTATTAAATAGCTTAATTTTCGTAAACTTGAAGTTTTTAACAGTGTTAGAACAGGGGAAAATATTTTACTTTCTAGATTGCATACTTTCAAAAGTGTATTTAGGAAATGCTGAGATGTATGGTTCTCCTTATTTTATGTTGACTTGCAAGAAGGAAAACAATGCAATGTAAACCTCAATTCACTAAATCAGTATCCTATACTTTTCACATTTTCCAGTTCTCATTCCTTCTGCTACATCTGTATAACTGCATTCTCAGTGAAAAAACAAGGTAGTTACACTGAAACAACAGGAGATGTGTGGGAGCTAAGTAGAAGAGCTACGTAATTCTGTCTAGTAACTCTGCACTCGACTAAGTGTGCTACATATAAAATTCTCACTGAAAAACCTGAATAAGACAGACTTATACATAGCCCCTTATCTTCTTCATTTTGTAAGGACATATTTTCTTCTTTTTGTTTTTTTGTTTTTTTTTGGTTCTAGTCATGGAGCCTGAACTCTGGGCCTGGGTGCTGTCCCTCAGCTCTTCAGCTCAAGGCTAGCTCTCTACCACTTGAGCCACAGCGCCACTTCCGGTTTTTTTCTTATGTGGTGCTGAGGAATCAAACCCAGGGCCTCTGGCATGCAAGGCAAGCGCTCTACCACTGAGCCACCTTCCCAGCCCATGACTTATTTTCTTGTATCAGGTATTTTCCATATTTATTACAAACATATCTATGAAAACAATGGAAATCAGATTTAGCAAAATTGGTATCATGGATTTACTTTTATAACTAATTAAGTTTCCCTACTAAATGGATAAAGGAAAAAGGGTCTCTTCATATTATTATTTTACTACAGAAGAGATGACTGGAAAAAGTCAATAAACTATAGTAAAAACCCTAATGGAAGCAGTGTAGAAATCAGAAAGAGTAAGGTTCAGAAGCCTTCAAGAAAATAACATAACAGAATACTCCATAACTGAAAAGAATAAACTAAAAGAACATAATTAATAAAAGCAGGAGAGAAGTAATTGTGATTTACCAAAAAAAAAGGGACAGGACAAGGAGATGACCCTCTCAACAGAGGTGGGCGCTGGCACCTTGTACAGTAGACGGAGGAAGGGCCAGAGGGGTGCACAGCACCAGGCAGTGCGCAGCTGGAGCTGGCATGACCCTCTCTCTCTTCCTCTGCCCAGAACATGTTCCTCACATCTCCTCTGGTGGCCTTCATTCCCAAGCTCACAGCTAAACCATTGCCAATCTACAAAATCCCTTTCTCCTGAGCCCCATGGCTTCTCTGAATAGCAGGGCTCACCCAGGCATACGTACTTCACGGCTCTGCGTGTGCATTTTCCTTACACCAGCAGTGCCCAGAGCACCAGCTGCTGACTATTCTCTGACCATAGCACTCACCATATGCTACCTGCGTTACTTATGTTGCTTATGTACAAATAAAAAGTAGTTAAGACTGAACAGGAATAATACTATGGAGCTGGGAAGGTGGCTCAGTGGTAGAGCGCTTGCCTTGCATGCATGAGGCCCTGGGTTCGATTCCTCAGCACCACATAAGCAAAAAGAAAAAAGTCCGAAGTGGCGCTGTGGCTCAAGTGGTAGAGCGCTAGCCTTGAGCTGAGGGACAGCGCCCAGGCCCAGAGTTCAGGCCCCACAACCAGATCTCCCTCTCCCCCACCCCCACCCCCCGGACAAAAAGGAATAATACTACATCCTAAGTCTTATTTCAAACAATAATCTGTGAGATGATGGTTCTGTGTGTGACACTTGCGTTGCTCAAAGCCCCTCTTGTCTTGGACACAGACTCTCCTGGATGTGCAGGAGGAAGCCTTGCTACGAGTACTCTCTGCTACATGGACGATGGGAGAGGTCCAGGGCCCAGAGGCGGCTGGCTGCAAGCCTTAACTACAAATAGGAGGGAAAATGAAAGTAAAAGGCTGAGCAGTATGTACGCAGAATGGGAAACAGAACAGGCCAGAGTTAAAATATTTTAAGGTCCTGACATTGCCTGAAAGAAAAGCCAAGATAAAGATAACTTTAAACTTAATAAAATTTTTAGGGAAACGATCAGAATAGAAATACAGGGACTAGTTCAGGTTAATAGAAAAAACTATAATTAAAAAGTTAGAAGCCAAGTGTGGTAGTATACTGCTGTAATCCCAGGACTCAGGAGACTTAGAGAGGGCTGGGAAGGTGGCTCAGAGGTAGAGCGCTTGCCTTGCATGCCTGAGGCCCTGAGTTCGATTCCTCAGCACCACATAAGCAAAAAGAAAAAAGCTGGAAGTGGCACTGTGGCTTAAGTGGTAAAACGCTAGCCTTGAGCTGAAGAGCTGAGGGACAGCGCCCAGGCCCAGAGTTCAGGCCCCATGACCGGACCCAAAAAAAAAAAGAGAGAGAGAGAGAGACTGAGAGACTTTTGGGGACAAAGACTATGCTACAGAGCTCACTTGTGGCACTCACAGATGTGCTTGTGTGACAATTACAAAAATCTGCATACTCTTACTTTTCCAAAGCAGGCAGGCCCTGGAGCGTCTCTGCATACCATACCATCTGACCCTGGCACTCATGCTTGAAGCCAATAGGCCAACGAGACCCCACAGTCTTGGGGCCTAACGGAGGGAAGAAGTGGTCAACAGAGACAGTGCATGGATCACAGACAACTACAAAGGCTGATAGGACAGCAGCCTGGTGCTGCCTGGTGGGCTCTAATAGCCTCTCTGAGGAGGTACTCAGATGAACTCAGAGTGACAGGAAGGGACTAATTATGGGTGCCTAGAATCTAGTCAAGAAGCAGTCAGTGTTCCAGGAGAGAAGAAAAGAGGCATCCCGGGCCAGACCATCAGGTAAAGCCTGCCGCTAGTAAGAACAGCACTCCGAGGGCGGTGTAAAGAAGTGACAAAGGTCACATAGCAGTGACTCAGAAACAGCAAGGACCCCAGCAACACTGTTACCTTAACTAGCATTACAGATGGTGGGTATTCTAGATTCAGACTTTACTCAGGACTCCTGAGGTTTTCATCATTTTTATGAACATTTTCATCATGTACTGAAGTATTTCATTTAAAACTATCATTCCTAAAAACACATGCAATGGATTTTTGGATGTTTACATGTTAAGTCAGTTACTAAAAGACATCTAATAACTATGTTCTAACTTCTAGTTATAGAGGGCATAATTTTGAAAAGTGGTTCATATTTAAAGACTGCCTTATTCAGTATTTTATGTAACTTGAAAGATGTATTAGATCTTCCTTTTAATATAAGTAATTTCTGTTGTTTTTGATTTTTGAAGCAACAGCCTAGGCTGTTTTTGAACTCTAGATCCTCTGGATTCATCCTCCTGGGTACAATCCTAGCAACACACCCAGCTTTTAAATATTGCTAACTTCAAATGTTCTAACTTTTATAATAACACACACAGAGATTCTAAAGCCCTAGAAACATCAGCAACCAATTAAAATTACTTTTTCAGATTCAATTTATGTTTTAACAAGAAGTACCCCCACTTGTTGGCGATGACAGTGCTAGTGCATCTTCACCCTTCCAGGCGAAGCCTGGTGTCTCTAATAAAGTTGAGTGTAACCCATCAACCTTTCTAAAGAACGGGTCCTCACACTCAGAGCCCTTCTGAACACTTCTTTCACAACTCAGAAAGCAACGTTTCAACAAAACCATTCACTATGAATCCAGAGGGTTTTTTAAAATCTATTTCTTAAACTTACCTTATAGGAATGATGTAGGAAAAGAGGAGGAGGAACCGGAAGAGATTGCGGTACCACGGGCCTGCAAATCCCTGCAAGGTTACCATAACAACAGAGAGAACAACTAAAGCCAGAAACAGTGCCTTCGTCAGCTGATTGAGCTCAAGGTCCAACAAACCAACCTAAAAAAGAAAACAAAATAGAAATACAGTATTATACATCCAAGCTGGCTGTCTCTAATGTTACAAATACTATTACACGATAATTCTTAAGGACTATATTAACCTTTATTATAACGAAATGCAAAACTGTATTTTTCTCCTGAGAAACTTCTTATAGACTTAGGCAGAATTTCTAGAACGTCTTCAGTAAGAACACACAATTCACTACTTGAGCTGAAGTAGATTCATGATGCTGTCACTGCCACCTGGAACCCAAGATTAAGAGTAGCAGGCCCACAGTGGGATGTGCACTGTTTCTTGAGGGCCTTGCCCAGAAACGGCTCTTTCAGGAGCAAAGCGCCATGTCAGACCAGCGTCCTGTTGTCACTGGTATTTCTCTGCACATCCCCCCTCAAGTTTAATTCAGACTGAGGTTCCCAAACACCAGGACAGAATGCATGCTAGCCTCTCCTGCCGGAGTCTTTGTAAGGATTTCTGATGAGCAAAGAGACCACACAGAATGGTAAACTTCTGATAAAGGCATGCTTGATTTCATAACCCTCTCCTCATCAGGTTCTCCGGGAACAACACACTACGCTCAGAGTCACCCTGTGGTTGAAAAGATGCAGGGGAAATCATGTCAGTAAGCAGCAGCTCATTTTTGGTTATTCTTTTTAGAGTGAGCATTGGCCGCACACACAGCCCTTGCTTTATGAGAACAGGCTCTCCTCACGCACGCAACTCCAGCGGGGCTCCGGCAGTCTCTGCGGACGGTCCCGACTGCTGTTTCACACCGAAAGCCCCCAGTGCCACATAATGTGTGGGGTGGAGATGTGTGGGAGGCCGAGAGCTGCGGGAAGCTGAAATCTGCAAGTTCAGCTCAGAGCACTGGGGCTCCTGGGTCCCTGAGTCACTCACTCTTGTGTGGGCTCTGCTTCCTGGCTGTGTGATCCTGGACTGGCTGGGCCTCAATCTCCTTAATGTCAAAGAGGGATCACAGCAATTTCTTCCTCACAGGACTCTGGAGGCAGAAGTACGTGGTAGTGCTGTTGTGGTCACATGCATTGGGATCCCATTTCTCTGGTGACTAGTTATATGACCCCAAGCCTTGCTGTCCAGGTCTGTCAAATGTACTAATCCTGAGCAAGAGTGGCTGGGGGGAGGTGGTGGCTGCAGCCATTGGTACAGCATGGCCTGGGAACAGGGTGTGTCCTGATTAGGAAACACCAACCACAGACTGAGTCCTGTCAAGCAAGGCATCTCCCTGAACCTCCGCTTGCCCTCATCTGGTACAACTTATTGGGAGAGAACACACCAGAGAACACACTCATACATCAGGGCTGGAGGTGTGACTCAAATAGGCCAAGTTCAAACCCTACTACAGACAAAAATAATTAATAACAATAATAATCCAAGACATGAATTTCAAACCCTTGAAAAAACTTGAGGTAATTATACTCTTAACTCATCAATTTAAAAAGCTATTAGCGAAGCTAATATCCAGTATTTATAGTGCCTTCTGAAAACCTAACTTTGAACAACAGAAAGCTGCCTTTCCCACAACTCATAATTTTCTTTTCTATCTGTTCTGATGACTATTTGCCATGAACTCTCGAGAAACCATGACAAGCTTGAGTTAGAAAGGAAAACAAAATGTTTCCTAGAGTTTGTAACAAAAATTAAACTGTAATTTTAAAACTGTAAAATTTTAACTGTAAAATAAAGCAACATTACATGGCTATGATATTTTGTGCTAAATTGTAAAGTTACAACAATGAGTTAATATTAAATTCTCTTTTTAAGATTTTTACAATGTTTATATTAAATTCTTTTACCTGCAAGAAAGTCAGAGAAGAAGGAAAAATAAAATGAACACAAGTAATATACATCGAGAGAGAGAGAGAGAGAGAGAGAGAGAGAGAGAGAGAGAGAGAGCATGAATTACACAATGAAAGTTTTCTTTGTTGACCAGGCTGTTTCAAATCTCGTCTTGAAGCTGGTAACTATAAGCACACCGTGGCTTCAAAACACCATAGAAACAAGTCATCTTAACAAGGACCCCTTGTCAGCTGGTGTGTGTACAGTGTGGGTTCCACGGGGACACTGCTGGGTCAGCGAGGGCTGGGAGCGCAGGGCTCCCCGGCCAGACCTTGTCCAGCCCATCCATGTGTATTCTCACTGTCCACTTTATGTCCTCTCATTACCACTCAAGACTCCTAAGACTTCAAACTAAGCATGGGTTTTATCCAGAATATCTCCTTGTCTCTAGTGTGACCATAAGCAGGACACAGCTACTACTCTGCCCAGGCACAGAGCAGCACTTACAATAGCTCGTTTCCAACCGAAACCCTTTCAAGCCTGCCTTTCTTCCAAAGCACAAGTTGCTTTCTAATCCTCAGCCCTGTCCTGACTGCTTTGTCCCCCTCAGGAACGTCTACAGGCCCAGCCCCATCACTGGACTCCCTCCCTCACCCTTGTCTACCTCCAGGTCTTGCACCTCAACAGTAAACCTTCCACTTCCCTAGAGAAAGAAACTCTATTCAACCCGTTCTGAAAATTCCTCTCCTGTGCCGAGACTGTGCCTCCCCGGAGAGCAGCGCAGCCCCGGCCCGGCGCTGATTTATCAGCTCCATTTAAACAGCAGCACAAGGAGGACAAATATCGTACAAGCTCCGCCACTTCACTACCACATGGTTTATGCTTGAATTATTGTGAAAAATAGGTTCTGGATTAAAATGAAGAAAAATTAAGCCAGGGAAGTAGAGCATGTTTCAAAGCCCCGATCTTTCTGCTGTGACAAAAGCAGTCTAAGTTTCAGGCCCCACTGAGGATCAGATGAAGTCATTATTCATTCAGTCAGGGAGAAGGGACTCAATTACCTCAACCTAAAGATGCTATCAATGAATGCAAAGTGCATATTTTACTCTATTCATCCAAATCCCATTAAAAAGTGAAAGGAATGATTTAATCTGGCCTTCCAGAGTTGGTCTTTTTTTTTGTAATAAAATAAAAGAATTACTGTCTTGCAAAACGCATAACAACTACCTCACACTTTTATACTCTGCATCATAGCAGCAAAAGACCCAAAGCTGGGACAAATCCACTCGGAAATGAATACAAAGTTTCCTTTGAAAAAAAATGCCACATCAGAGAATGGAAACATTAAAAGCAGCCCACTGCACATGGATATTCAGATAATTCAAGGCATTAATACCTTTCTAATTGACTAAGATGGATGTAGTCAACTGTGGACCAGTGAGTACCACAATTCTGAAGCCAAGTAAAATGATTTTTCTCATCCCTTTTAACTCGAAGCCAGTGATGACAACTTTTTAGCGATGAACTGTTCCTGGTGTTCTTCCAGGTGGCCTGTGCTGCATGATGGCTGCTCTTCCCCCAACGGAAGGGTACGCAGGCTATATTGTATATAATACAATCAGGACGCTGTGGTCAATTCTGACAAAGCATGGTGAGGAGAAACTGCATTTCAACATTTGCTAGTCTTTTTTTTTTTTTTAACCATTTCTAGTTAACAATACAAAGTAGCAGATCTCATAAAGTGGCAAGTTTTGACATGAATCTCTGCATTCTTTTAAGAGTTTCTTAAAGACATAAACAGACCACAAACAATTCACTATGATTTCAGAGATAAAATATATTATTAATCACTTGAAGTAATTATGATTGCCTAAGAAAAGATAAATACACTAGGAAGCAATTTTCAACATTTATTGTAATTTCCTATATTAGTAAAGCAAATTTTCTTCTACTTGTCATAATATTTGTTTTATTTGAAACAACTGTGATAACAAAATTAAATACGCTACTGGAAATTTTAATCTCCAAGGGAAAATTTGTGCATAATGTCTAAGACAACCACAATGGCTCTGTAAAGGGGCTGTTCTAGGATAATGAACACAATAATTGCCTGTATAATCTAAAATGCTACTAATGGCAACGATCACAAATCCATTTAGCTCCTCTTTAATTTATGTACCAAGTTTTAAATAGCTAATGGTTCTCAGTAAAATAATGGTTTATACCAACAATAAAGGGTAAATACGGTGTTCTCCTGCTTAATCAAGAAAAGATCAGTCAGGGTTCCCCTTCTTCTTTTTAAATGAACTCATGGACAAATGAGAATGGGACCTTATCTCTGTAACATAGTACCACTCTCATCCATCTCAAACTTAAAACTCTCTGCATACTACCAAAGTTCCTAAGAAATCAATGTACTCACCTAACTGAAACAAAAGTCTGATGTTATAAAACCTTTGGCCCATAAAATACGAAGCATAAATATCACTAGTGATTATGTCATTCTTGGATTAAAAGGATGTACACTTTAAAATACTCTTACCTGTCTCCTAGGTCTCTCAGTACTTACTCTTACATGGAAGCATTTTAGAATAGCAAAATGACAAGATACAATATTACAAAGAGCTAATTCTAAATATTATTTTAAAATGTACTGTATCTCCCTGTGGACACAACACAATATGAACAAGAGAGAAGCCCTTAAACCCAATCAACCCACGCAAGATTCCTCCACATCAAAAGGCGGTTGTTGCATGACAGACTGCTTAGGGAAGGAACCATCATTGTTAATGTCTGTTTATCTTTTCCCAGATGAACTGTTCATGGGTCAACGCTAAAGTTCTTCATTCAGAATGAGGAACACTGATATTGGGATAACAACACGAGATTCTTACAAAAAGCATATATTCCTTTTCAATATCATTGAAGAACTCAGTTCTGTATTTTCACTTAGAACAATCCTAAGAAATAAGAAAAAAATGATTTTCAGATCTTTCATTTCCTTCAGAGGGAGTAGGAAAAGCCTTTTTCACTTTCTCCATTTATTTTAGTATTTGAAAATCCTGTTTTACAAAACTAAATCCTTGTTAAAATTTTAAAAAACAAATACAGTTAAAAAACAAGTACAGTACGTCTAAGTCTTACACGAATAACTTTAAAGGAAGTTTTAATACCACATAACCTTTTTCCTTCTTCTTTGGTGT